TGGAGAGTGTATTTGGAAAAATAGTGGAAGTTGAGCATTACATCTCAGAGAGATGAGGAGGTTTTGGTACTCTGTGGACTCTATCAATAGTAAGATCTGAAGATGATAGGGCTGGAATGGCTGTGAGAAAGACATCCCATACATAATGAGGTAATTGAGAGGATAGGATAAACTCAAGGATCCCTCTGATCTTGATGTTATTCCTTCTAGACCTATCCTCCAAATGCACTATCTTTGCTTTCAACCAGGATATTTCTTCCTCTTGTGCTACACTTGTGTCAACCAGCGAGTTAAATGAAGTTGCATATTCACTCAATTTATCCTCCACATGGCTAATCCTGTTTCCCAGCTCATGTACTTCAACTTTGTACTGATGCAAACTGGAAAGGAAATCAGACTGTATTGAGGATCTTAGTGACAGCAACATTTCTTTAAGCATAGTATCTGATGTTGGCTGACCAGTAGTTGGAAAGGAAACAATTGGGTCAGAAATTTCTGTTTCCATAGATTTTTGTTTGTAACTACAACTCACCCCAGGTAAATCCCCTTGATCATCATTAACACCTGTGTCCTTCCTGGGTTTAGATTTCACAGGGCTGTGGAAGTCTGGGATGAAGATCTGGACCCCCTTGACAGTGCAGCTTCTTCCAGGCCTTCTGATGTGTCCATAAGCTGGGGCGGAATGATCATGAGAGGGCCAGTAGGTTCTGGGAGCCACCGCCATTTTGTCGAAGCATTTTATGAGTGGCCCGGGAAAAACGCTGTCACTTTCAGAGGCTGGGGTGAGTGCTTGCAGCATCTAGGCATACTGCTGCATGGAGAGGAAAAGTGTGGCTCCAGATGTTGCTAAGGGGAGATGGAGTGTGCATCATGGGCGTCGGATTCCCCAGATGTCTAGCGAGGCTCTGTCAGTGAAATGGCAGTAGCCACGCCCCCCAGGTTGTAATTTTTTTTATAGTTTACTGACATCTATTTGCAGTTTGTATCTGATTAAATGTATCTGATTCCCCCATCCACACATTTGAGGTGGATTGGGAAATCACTCCTGCTGTGTGTTTGTGAGCCTTCCCCATCATCACAAAGTAATGATCAGTGCATTCCAGTGGCACTGGTCGATCAGATTAAACCCAACAAACTGGTTGTACAGAATTCAATTGGATACAAGGGGGCACCAATCTCAGTGTAGAGGGTTAAAGATTTATTGGTAACAAGAGGTTTAAAAAACTACTCACAAATGTAAGAAGTATAATAGCATGGCAAAGGAATGCCTTTGGTAAGCCCTCAGTCGGCCAATGCTAACGCATCACATACCCCCCATCATAGCCCTATGAGAGACCACTCTATAGATCATCCACTTCGTTTATTATATTTCTTTATATGCATTACATATGAGTGTGTGTATATACTGTATATATATTTTTTAACCACACTCCATGTATTTTTCCATCGTTTTATTATCATTTTTAATACTATTATTAATATTTTTTACTCTTTAATATTTACCCTTATTTTATATATATTTTTTATATTCCATATATTTTATTTATTTATTTCAGGTACTTATATAGCGCTGTCAATTTTATGCAGCGCTTTACACATATATTTTGTACATTCACATTAGTCCCTAACCCTCAAGGGGCGTACAATCTAAGGTCCCTAACTCACATTCATACATACTAGGGACAATTTAGACAGGAGCCAATTAACCTACCAGCATGTCTTTGGAGTGTGGGAGGAAACCGGAGTACCCGAAGGAAACCCACGCAGGCACAGGGAGAACATGCACACTCCAGGCAGATGGTGCCGTGGCTGGGATTCGAACCAACAACCCTAGTGCTGCCAGGCGGAAGTGCTAATCATTAAGCCACTGTGCTGCCCAAATATATATTTTTTATTTTTTATCTGTTTAGTTTATCGTTTAATCCCACTCTGTTTTATCATAAATTTTGGCCACGACCAGGGGCGGACTGACAACTCATGGGGCTCCCGGGCAACAGGGGATCATGGGGCCACTGTGTCCTTGCCCACGCTCAAAAAAGCCTATAAAAAAAGGTACCAGGGGCATTTTATGGGGCCCCCTACTGACCCCGGGCCCTCGGGCAGTGCCCGAGTGCTTGAATGGTCAGTCCACTCCTATCCACGACATAACCTCTCTTTTGGGTTGCCATGCCCTTTACCAAATAATTATCATTCCATTTTAATATTAGCATGATTTCCGGCATTCCTTTTTCACCCTCCCCCCTCCTTTTTTTCCTTTTTCCCCTGCATGTGCCTTCTCTTCCCCCCACCACCACCCTGTTTATTTATTTATTTGTTTGTTTGCATATAACTATATTATTATGAATCATGTTCACCAAAGACATTGCCACCATTTTGTGACAAACCACACTAGAACATTATGCCAGTTACTGCTTTTGTATTGTATATGTCTGCTCCGATCCCTATTCACCGATCCTAGCTGCTGACATCTTCCCCCAGCTGCCAGTCAGAGTGATATCATCCCGCCCCCTCCTGTCTTCTGCCTATAAAAAAACGGAGAATCTGACAGCCAATCAGGTCTGAAGAAGAAGCAAGTGGTTCGAAACACGTCACCTGACCCTGTTCCTGCCCTGCCATTGGTCGCCCACTGAGGTTCCGGCTCTCTTGCTGTCCATGTTGGTTGCGGCACCATTTTCAAAAACTCTCTGCATTGCTGAACACTGATGGCTGCATCTCTGCTCATCCTGCACAACCAGGATCCATCTTTACATCATTGGCAGACTGAGGGCTTACCAAAGGCATTCCTTTACCATGCTATTATACTTCTTACATTTGTGAGTAGTTTTTAAAACTCTTGTTACCAATAAATTAATTTATTTATTTAACCCTCTACACTGAGATTGGCACCCCCTGTGTCCGATTTATTTTCTACAGAGTTCTGCTTCGCTCTATGGGGAGCTGCCTTCACCATCCATCCACCACCTAGGACCCTTTGACTATGGACTTCCCCGTCTCCATTTGTTGTTGCTCCGCCGCCACCCATTTTGAACTCGTTACTATTGTACGCTTATTCCCCTATTTGTATTTGTATTTCTCCCGCTGTTTCCGTCATTTGTCACTCACTTATCTAGACTCTTCATGTGTAGTCCTCTCCCAGCGCCATTTTGTCTTTCGTTTTTACAGAATTCAATTGGTAGGTCCACTTCTGTACAACCAGGGTGCCCATAAATGGATTAAAATGTGACTGTTCCCTGCTAAACCAGCTGAATTTCGATACTTGTATGGTCGGATTCAGTTATTCACAGAGAGACTGCTTAGGAAAGTAATTTTTACTTCAAAGGACTGGAAAACATCCTGTGTACTGAAATTAGCTGAAGTAAAACTGTGCTGAATTCACCTTCTGTGTTTTATTGAGGAGCAGGGGCGGACTGACCATTTGGAAACTTGGGCACTGCCAGAGGGCCTGGGGTCAGTAGGGGGCCCCATGAGATGCCCCTGGTACCTTTTTCATAGGCTCCTTTGAGTTTGGGCAAGGACACATGGCCCAGGGGCCCCATGAGTTGTCAGTCCACCCCTGGTGGCAACCCTACCTACATCCTACTCTGCACCCCAACCAAGTTCAACTTGCATTAAAGCATAATAAGACATTCCAAGTCTGGTCATTGAGTTCCAAGACTGTCCATGCTAATGTCTGTCTGGCTGCATTTTTTACAGTACCTGACTGGGGAAGAGAACTGGGGACAAATCAGCAGGCCCATCAGGGGGTTGCGCTACATATGCAAATGTGGAGGGGGAGGGATGTTTAGGTTAGATTAGGGGCAGTAGAAAAAAAGATAAGTGCAATTTGTTTTGAGTTTGGGCAAGGACAGAGAGGCCCCATGATCCCCTGTTGCCCGGGGGCCCCGAGAGTTGTCAGTCCTCCCCTGTTGAGGAGTTACGCTGCTTGCGGATGGTGTCAAGTCAACAGGTGACCATACTCTCTGGTTTTTTTAAAGCTGGAGAGTTCAAAATCAGGCTTGAACCCAGTGAGCTTCTAGGTTTTATTGCCAATGCTTAACTGAACAAGCCAAGTTTAGAAACTGATTGGTTTCCATGTAGAAGTGAGCCTGATTTTGCACTCTCCAGCTTTAGTAAATAACCCCTCCAGGTGTAAAGAGATATGCCAGTGCATAAAGCAGCATTTGAAACAGAACACCCCCTCCCAGTCTAGGCTCTGCGGCAGGGGCGGACTGACCATTTAGAAACTCGGGCACCGCCCGAGGGCCCGGGGTCAGTAGGGGGCCCCATGAGATGCCCCTGGTACCTTTTTTATAGGCTTTTTTGACTTTGGGCAAGGACACAGGCGCCCCATGATCCCCTATTACCCGGGGGCCCCATGAGTTGTCAGTCCGCCCCTGCTCTGTTGTATATGAGGCTAATACCAGGTCAGATTCAGGCACTTAAAAAAAAATACATTTAATTTTGTATTAATTTGTTGTTTTCATTTCAGCTTGGAATTCAGCTTTAAATATCCTCCCAGCCCTGTGTATTGTGAAGATATTTTGAGAATTTGCTAAGCCCAGTATTCTTGTTAGAAGAGTTTTTGCTGGATATGAGATCTTCACTCTGCGATACAATATTTTTCCTGTAACTGGATTCTCGTCCGTCAGTAGCTTCTTACTATAGATCTTGGCACGGTTTATATAGTAACAGTTCAAACTGCTTAGCATCAGCCGAGAAACAGTCTAAGTGCTTGTGACATGTGGTATCAGCGGGTATTATCTATTGATAAAGATCTGCCCCGATTGAGCCCTTAAGTGCTGTTTGTTTCTTTTGTGAATCATAAGGAACGAAATCGAGTTTGACACCATTTTAGGCGTTTGCTGCACTCTGTCCTGGCTAATTTCTTCAAAGGAAACGCGAGGAGAAGGCAGCTGTAGACACAATGGAAAGCTTTGTTTTAAAGCGCTGGTATTAAGAATTCACGGAAATACAATGTATTATTTTATTTCCCTGGCTTAGGATGCAATATACAAACCTTAAAGGACAAAGCTCATTTAGGACTCATTTGCATGTGTGGCTATACTGCTCCCCCCCTCTGAAAAGCAATCTGCAGTGGATCACTTTTCAGAGAGCATTTGACAAACAGTGAGGTTATGATTTGTCGCCTCCTCGCTGCCTGCTTTAACCATCAAAATGCCAACCAGGGGCAGACTGACCATTTGGAAACTCGGGCACTGCCCAAGGGCCCGGGGTCAGTAGGGGGCCCCATGAGATTCCCCCGGTACCTTTTTCTTAGGCTTTTTTGAGTTTGGGCAAGGACATAGGGGCCCTATGAACCCCTATTGCCCGGGGGCCCCATGAGTTGTCAGTCCGCCCCTGATGCCAACACATTGCACCACAACCGCATACGGTTGTGGCCAGGGGCGGACTGACCATTTGGAAACTCAGGCACTGCCCGAGGGCTCGGGGTCAGTAGGGGGCCCCATGAGATGCCCCTGGTACCTTTTTCATAGGCTTTTTTGAGTTTGGGCAAGGACACAGGGGCCCCATGTTCCCCTATTGCCCGGGGGCCCCATGAGTTGTCAGTCCGCCCCTGGTTGTGGCACAGCCCAGGGGCGGACTGACCATTTGGAAACTCGGGCACTGCCCGAGGGCCCAGGGTCAGTAGGGGGCCCCATGAGATGCCCCTGGTACCTTTTTCATAGGCTTTTTTGTGTTTGGGCAAGGACACAGGGGCCCAATGATCCCCTATTGCCTGGGGGCCCCATGAGTTGTCAGTCCACCCCTGGCACAGCCCCATTCACTTGCATGGATTGCATTTGGTGGCAGTACTGTCCTGATGAATGCCAAATGTCTATTAATTTTTGCCGTAGCTGCAGCATGGGCACCACCCTGCCTGACTGCATTGCTGTGATAAATCCATATACTAAATATATGAGCTGTCCATCAAGTGCAATAGATAGCAATAGATAGTAATAAATCAAAAACAGTATTTTATTTTTTTTATTGCAAACTATTTTTATTAGAGCTTATCATACATACATACAGGGCTGCTATTAGAAACCATGGGGCCCCAAACAGCTGACCTGACAGGGGCCCCCTCCAAAAGAAAGAACAGTTTGCGATGCTTCAGTTATGAATGAAGACAGTGAGTGATTGGTACAGATCACTCATTGTGTTTATTCAGGACAGAAAGGGGGCTGGTAAAGGTAACATATTTACTGGACCCTTCCCCCACTCTCCATCCTAAAGGAACCTATTATGTGAAGCTTTCAGCACTGCACAAATGGGGGCACATAGGGGGGCCTGGGCAGCAGAGGGAAGCGTATAGCGCACATTTCAAAACATTTGGACACTTATTTCTCATAAAAGAATGTTTTTGTACTATGCATGCAGGGCTGTGGATAAGGGGGTACCACCAGTCCTTCTGTACGGGGCCCAGGTCAGCAGGGGGGCCCAGACAGCTGAGTGCATTGGATTTGGGCAGGGAGGGTGATCAGCAAGGCATGGGGGGGAGCAATTACTGGAACTGATTCCCTATATGGCTATCTCTGCAGCAGCTGGGAGGGAGAGATGAATCCAGCTTTCAACTGCTACAGGAAGTCTCATTCACGGGATCTGTTCCAGGGGATTACTGGAACCGATCCCCAGTATGGGTCTTCCTGTAGCAGTGCTGCACTAATAGGCAGCACTGAAGGGCACTAATAGGCAAACCTGAAGGGCATTGATGGGTGGCAATGATGGGTAGCACTTATGGGCACTCTTTGGCAGCACTGATGGGCACTGATTGGCAGCACTGATTGGCACAGATTGGCAGCACTGCTGGGCACTGACTGGCAGCACTTACGGGCACTGATTGGCAGCACTGATGGGCACTGACTGGCAGCACTGATGGGCACTGATTGGCAGCACTGATTGGCACTGTTGGGGCTGCGCTGATAATCAGGACACTGATTAATAGTGGAGATATCTCTGTTCACACTTGCCAGTTATCAGCAGTACTTTCCTCACGCTGTGACAGCCCTCCCAGAACTGGACGACTGTGCTGTAGCCATCATTTGGCTGTGGTCAGCAAGTGGTTAAAGCATTACCTATGGACAACTTAGGGTAGCAAAGTGTGTTGCTGTTTAAATGGCGCACATGACTTTAAGTCTCAATGTGTTTGGTATCTAAATGTTCAACCCAACCTCATCTCTTATATTTTACAAAAAAAATCCAGTCATATATTATGTTTGCACTGCAAAAATTTAAGAGTATTATGTAAGAAAATATGGGTTTAATATACAGTTGTGCCTAAATCATGTGACATAAAAACTGCAACTACCAACATTTTATTCTCCAAGACAGTGGCAGAACTACCAGGATCGCAGAGGTCGCACTTGCATCTGGGTCCTGGAGTTCCAACACCGTAGGGGGGCCTCAAGCAGTATTGTGAACTGCCCATTACTTTAGGGACATTTTGAAAAAAAAAAAAAAAAAACAGCCTGATTTCTACTGTCCTATGTACAGGAGAATTATCCTGTAAATTTAGAGACCAAGGGCTGCAGTTGAGTCGAATGCCTCTGACACTTTCCCAGCCTAGCGAACACACCCCCTCTCCCCCTCACAGATGGAGGGAGGAATACAGTTGCTCCTGCTCTTCCCACCCCTGTTCCTCCTCTGTCTGCCAGACTGCCCACACTTCTATCCCTGGCATGCAGCTGTGCCTGAGAGAAAGGGGATGTGTGGGTGGCAAATATGAAAACAGCAGCTGGCAGCTATGGATTCCTAGTTGCATGAATGATGCCACTGCCTGAGCTACCAGCCTCGGCCCTCGGGTGAGTGAACACTGAGCAGTGCAGTACACCATGTTCTATGAACTGTCCCTATGTCCTTTCTTATCTCCCCCATCTGTCTCCCCCCCCCCCCATTTCTGCTCTTCCAAAAGTTTCACAAACTTGCTCAGTTCCAGTTAGCACTTAGGCAGCCTATACATTGATAACTCTTTTTTTTTTTCATTCAACCAGAAGGTTGAACCCTATGAGTAAGTCCGGAAATGACGAAACACGTTAGGACGTGACAGTGCGGCAAACCATAAGTAACGGGGGTCCGTAACCAGAAGTGATGCGACAGCGTCTGGTCCGATAGTTCCGGAGGTGGTGAGAGCACCAAGCGGTCCCTGCTGTTTACTTTATTGGCTTGATTATATTTTACACATTGTAAGTGCAATACTTTTAGCAATAAAGCGATATATATTTTGTACTACACCATTGGAGCGGGCCTTGTTCTT